TGGTGTGACGAGCGCAGGAAAGGGGGGGGGGGGGGCATCAAGTCACATGACTACATTCTAATATGTTGATCTGGGGTCTTTCGCAGAGCGTGAACCCTGAAAAATGACAATGGTGAGGTGATGTGATAGGAGAGAGGTAAGCAGAGCATTCGGTAAGGGGGTCCTTGTAGATAAGAACGCTCTGTGTAGAAGTGGAAGAATTCCAGCACTGTAGATAATAGACGGGGCCTGTGTCCCATCACCCCGCACCTTACCTCTGTGTCATTCCAACAACCACTTCACATCCCACAGACCCCCCTGTGTGGCTGTACCGCTCTCTCCATACAACATGACACGGCTAATATTATCCCTGGGCTACTGGAGGTGAATTGTGCACAGAAGCACAACAGCAGCAACACGTGTCCCATAACAGGGGATCATAGGAAAGGACACGGAACTGGCAGCCATGACAGTTCCACACAAGACACACGTGTCTCATAACGGGATCATAGGAAAGGACACAGAACTGGCGGCCATGACAGTTCCACACCAGACACACGTGTCTCATAACGGGATCATAGGAAAGGTCACGGAACTGGCGACCATGACAGTTCAACACCAGCAACACGTGTCCCATAACACGGGATCATAGGAAAGGACACAGAAGTGGCAGCCATGACAGTTCAACACCAGTAACACGTGTCCCATAACAGGGGATCATAGGAAAGGACACAGAAGTGGCGGCCATGACAGTTCAACACCAGTAACATGTATCCCATAACAGGAGATCATAGGAAAGGGCACGGAACTGGCAGCCATGACAGTTCAACACCAGCAACACGTGTCCCATAACGGGATCATAGGAAAGGGCACGGAACTGGCAGCCATGACAGTTCAATGTCAGAAACACGTATCCCATAACAGGAGATCATAGGAAAGGGCACGGAACTGGCGGCCATGACAGTTCAACACCAGCAACACGTGTCCCATAACAGGGGATCATAGGAAAGGACACAGAACTGGCGGCCATGACAGTTCAATGCCATTAGCCTCCAGCACACGCTGTTTAAAAAAAAATGGCATTTCTTATTAAAAATGGTATCAAAGTCTAAATAGGGCTGAGGGCTCTTGAGAGGAGTACTGAGACAGGATGCCGTGATGTTTACAGGAAGCTATGTTCAGCACCTCACAGGCCCCTCCCACCAGCCATGATCTGCCTGCATTGCACAGGGAAGCACAGAGGCCTAGTGATGACGTCACTGGGACTATAATAAGATATGACATGAGAATAAAAAAGGTTTTATACAGACAAAATTCATTAACACGTTGATGGGGATGGGCAGGAAAGACAAAACAAGCAGATTACACTATGAAGACTATAATAATAATATAATCATAGGCTCAGTATGCTCTCACCTCAGACTCCTCGTGTGTGTAGAAACCTTTACAGATTTTCTTGTTATCGACATCGCAGAACGCCGCAACCTGCAACACAAACACAAAAGTCGAGCGGGATGCTCTGGCCGATGTACTGCGGGGGAAATCTCTAGATTGAGGTGAAACAAGCGGCAAGAACTGGTTTTCCTATTGTATCTTATAATTACCTATTTATTTCATATTTTTGGGCTAGCGTTCTGCTTTAAAGCGGACCTTACACCCTTTGACTAAAAATCACATCAACATACAGCTCTGCACACTGATATGAAATCATCTGACATTCATCAGCTAAACAAACATTTTTATTGTACTGACAATTTCTTTTTTTCCCACTTCCTGGTCCACTTTGGCACAAGTGATGTAATCTGTGACCAAGCGTTGCATCCTGGGAAGGTTACATCAGCAGAGCATTGCTGGGAAATCTCATCTGTAATCTCATGAGATCTTAGGGAAAGGCAAGCATTGCATCGAGGGAAGTTTCCGTGAACAGAGAATTGTAATCTCATGAGATTTCAGGGAAAGGCATTTCCCTCCCCTGAGATTATGTGCATGGTCACATGTCCTAGTCACATGTGCCAGAGTTCCAGGAAGTAAAGGGAGATACATTACTCAGGGAAAGGCATTGTCCTCCCCTGAGATGATGTACTTGGTCACATGTTCTAGTCACAAGTGCTAGAGTTCCAGGAAGTAAAGGGAGATAGATTACTCAGGGAAAGGCATTTTCCTCCCCAGAGATTATGTGGATGGTCACATGTCCTAGTCACATGTGCCAGAGTTCCAGGAAGTAAAGGAAGACATATTACTCAGGGAAGGCATTGTCCTCCCCTGAGATGATGTGCATGGTCACATGTCCTAGTCACATGTGACAGAGTTTCAGGAAGTAAAGGAAGACATATTACTCAGGGAAGGCATTGCCCTCCCCTGAGATTATGTGCATGGTCACATGTCCTAGTCACATGTGCCAGAGTTCCAGGAAGTAAAGGGAGATACATTACTCAGGGAAAGGCATTGTCCTCCCCTGAGATGATGTACTTGGTCACATGTTCTAGTCACAAGTGCTAGAGTTCCAGGAAGTAAAGGGAGATAGATTACTCAGGGAAAGGCATTTTCCTCCCCAGAGATTATGTGGATGGTCACATGTCCTAGTCACATGTGCCAGAGTTCCAGGAAGTAAAGGAAGACATATTACTCAGGGAAGGCATTGTCCTCCCCTGAGATGATGTGCATGGTCACATGTCCTAGTCACATGTGCCAGAGTTCCAGGAAGTAAAGGGAGATCTATTAATCTGCCCTTAGTAAAAATGGCCGCTGTGAGAAGACTGGGGAGGAAAAGAATAAAAAGCCGGCAATTATCTATAAGTTTCTGTTTACTAAGCATTTCTAAATGAATCCTCTTTAATGAATACAGAACTGCGTTAATTTTTGTCATACGTATCTGCCTGGGAGTTCTCTTTTATATGATAAACCCAGAAACAGGGACAGTCGCAGGGACTGGCGGGAGCTAAGCGCTGCCATCTGGGTCCGCGATCTTCTATGTTTACATTCAGACTTTAACCCTTTGCTGGAGGCGGGAGATTTCAGCCACACTTAAAACAAACACCTTTCAGAGCTCTGCCGTGACGGCGCACAACCACATCGATCTAGCTGTGCCGATCACTCCTCTGCTCACACGCCGGGTAGCTGCCTTGTACGCTAAGCTGCGCAGACAGACATTGAAGTACACAGCGGCTACGTGTCCCTGGGTGACGTGCATCGGGGCGAGCAGCAAAGCAAATCTGATGGACGAAAGGAAAACACGGCAAAAAAAACCAAACAAACAACACAAACAGAGCCGAGACAGACGAGGCGCGGCCGGCGCTGGAGACGCACACTGCCACGAGAGCTGCTGTGACGTGTAAACAGTAACATGTAAACCATGCATCCAGTTTCAGAATGCTTATTTAATGTGAAGTACAGACATGTGCTAGAAAAATAATCAGACGACCAATAGACCACCCACTCCGAGGACAGACTGGGGGCCGCGGGACTCGGGGGTCTGTGCGGTTCAAAACAACTGCTGAGAATCTTGTAAACAGTGTATGTATACAGCAGAGGCGCACTATATATACTGGCACCAATCACAGCTACCGGAACATCTGATACAATACAATACCGAAGAGCTTCAAGACCCCACTCATCCATTACATGACGTCTCCTCTTCCTGATCCCAGCACATGATACATTCGAGGATGACGCAATACTTTTCCTGAGCTTCTCATAGCAAATCGGATTCAATTGATCAATATAATTTGTATCAATTGTGTCTCCATTATTCAGATTAGGGATGTACTGATACTAGTATCGGTGCCGATGCTGAGTATTTGGGCGAGTACTGGTACTTGCCCAAATGCTCCGATGCCCGGCCCGATACCTGAGCTTCCAGTATCAGGAAGCCAGGCAGCGAGTAATTCATTACACGATGCCCGGCTTCCTGATTGGCCGGGAAGCCGGCTCCATGCTCACTCGTCACTTGGTGGCGAAGACCGGGCAGCGTGTAATGATCCGCCACCTAGCTTCCTGATTGGTCAGTAAGATGGCCAACCAGGAAGCCGGAAAGCGAGTCCTTACCCCCCCAGCTTTCTGAGTGGCTAGAAATGCCCCCTCATCACCTGGTGACAAGGGAGCATGGAGCCGGCTTCCCGGCCAATCAGGGAGCCGGCTTCCCAGCCAATCAGGGAGCCGGCTTCCTGATTGGCCAGCGTCTCAACCAATCAGGAAGCCGAGCAACGAATCACTACATGGCGCCTGGCCTCTTGATTGGCCGGGAAGTCGGCTCCATGCTTCATCACCTGGTGATGAGGGAGCAAGGAGACGGCTTCCCGGCTAATCAGAAAGCCAGGTGGCGAGTCATTACACGCCGCCTGGCTTCCTTAATGGGACTTCCGGTAGCGGTATTGGCGAGTACCGCAAAAAAAATATCGGTACTTGATAACGAAAAAAGCGGCATCGGTGCATCCCTAGTTCAGATAGAAAGGATTTTCTGCAGCCGATATGGTGAACTAGACCCCCTCAACTATCTGGTCTCCCTCAGATAGTTGACTCCACTATCACGTATATCCGGTAGGCAACCCAACCGAAGTCAACCGAAGGAGCTCACACAGCAGGCTGACAACGCGACTGCTAATCACAATGCAATTGCTTAGTGTTTGCAAAGTTTGCAACAGATTCACAAAAATGATTTGCTTAAGCAAACTGTACGCAATGAGACACGATGCCGGATATACTGAAAGATAGATTGCAGGTATACATTAAACTCCTCCGACTCTACTTTCTCCTTCTGCTGCGTGCGCTTGGTAGACGTAAACGTAATGTACGGACGTCACAGGGGAATAGTAACTGAAAAATGACTCTCTTTGTGAATTCAGCTGAAATAAGTGAAATGCAGGCCGTCTGCTGAACGGTATTTCACCTCTTTGGAGACAATTCTGTTTTGGCCATTAGAAGGGCAGCCAGCGCTCGCTGCGCTATAGATCAGGTTGTCTGCCTGACATATCATGGAGCTGGTGTGAGGGCCGGGTAATAATGGAAATGAGGGGTAGAGGTAAGAGAGCATGGAGGGAGGGGGGGGGGATGACCGATCTCCAGACCCCTGCGTATAATAATCTAGTTATCCCCGGCAGAGGATTCTTCATCGTAATTCAGTTCCCTTCTGTGTCCTCTGGGGGCTCATCCGGAGCTCCTGCAACTGCGCAGCCCGGAGCAGGTGTGAATGAGCGGCAGGACGGGCCTGTAAAACGCATCGCGTGGACAGCGTTGCCATGGGAAAGCGACAATCACAGTCTAGGAGATGACTTGGGAGAGCGCGCTGCTGACCTCATGTAAGTTATTTCTCACCTGACGCACATTGTACGGATTCCAGCACTTCTGTTTCTACCATCACAGCCATTTCCTGAGGATAGAATGATTCTCAGATTTAATACCGTGGCTGAGGACGGGAGCCAGGACCGGGGGAAGCTGCATTTCCAGAGACCTGCTCAGTATTTTAACACTGTAAGTGCTGCAGGGTGTGCGCTGTTGCAATGAGCCGTGCAACCTGCCACTTCTGCACCAGACGGAAGATCTTCATTATTCATAGACAGACACGGGGGAATTACTACAGCTTCCTTCCCATTGTGAAACTGGCACGGGTAGCTTGTGTCACATTAACAAATGTGTCTGCGCAGCCCGCGGCAGTTTCAATTTCAGAGTGAAATGATAACTTGTGACGATCCCGTACCCGTATCCGGTAAGGAGTGCAGCAAGACCTCTGGTTCCTAAAGTTTGATTAGCAAAGGGGTCGCAGCATTCTGTAATATAGAAAACAAACGCAGATCCCCGCAAGAATGGAGCCGACATACTGGATGTAAACTGTCTACTGGTAACATGGCAAACAGCTCACATGCCTCTCTCTGCCCGTGCAGAAAAACATGTTACATGGGCAGAGCCTCCATGTTGGCAAGCAAAGCTCCTTTCTCTGCCAAAATGTATGTCTGTTAACCCCAACAAATGCTGAGGTAGCAGTCTTTCCCTTTCACTCTCTGCTGAGCGGGAGCGGGCAGAGGGAGCCGGAGCAGACAGCGCCGGCTCTCCTACATTCTATGCTATGTATGGCGCTAACCTAGAAAATGGAGCAGATCACTCCATCAGGATCTGCTCCATTTTCTCAGTTTAGAAGAGTGGCACCACACCGCTGACCAGGAAAAAGCTTACAGGAGTGAGCAGAGAGATGACCTCATCACTCTTCTGTTGCTTCATTACTGTCCAATCACAGGCTCAGGGCAGGGAGGTGATCTTTTGCTTAACTGTAGCAGAGAAGAGCCAGTTCACTGGACTGTGCTATCAGGGCTCTATTATTATTATCTATTATTCGCAGAAATGGATGAAGAGAAATAAAATCTTTTGGCAGGTAAGACTGTTTCCACATGGCAGGTAAGACTGTTCCCACACGGCAGGTACAACTATTCCCACACGGCAGGTACAACTATTCCCACACGGCAGGTACAACTATTCCCACACGGCAGGTACAACTA